TCCCTGTCACCATTTTTTCCGTGTATCAAATGACTCTGCCTTCCTCGGAAGCATCGTTGTCTTCAAGAGCCCTCGCAGCCCTTTCTTTTGCCATTATATCATGTCTTATTCCTGCGATACTGGTCATTCGTGTGCGGCTTACTACAACAAATAAATTGTACGAAGAAACGCGAACGTTGTTGTCTTTGGGTCCCCTTTACAATCACTATCGTCATGGCTCACAGATGTTTGCTTCACTGCTGTTTGCCACCAATTTAGCCTTTGGAATTACTATAGGTGCTGCACAAAAGAGCGGGACTGCACAGGCCATAGTTATCTTAGTAGTAGAGGTTATTTCCGCCCTCGTAACGACCATCTGGCTGCCGTGGGGTACGGGTGCGAGCATGGGGCTGATTAGCTTTTTGTTTTGCGTAGCAAGGATTGTAATTGCGGTTCTACTTGTCATTCTGGCTCCCGCGGTATGTTGCCTTGTCTCCTCTTTCAGTGACATATGTTGAAGATTCTGTAGATTTCAGTTGGAACGGGTGCTGAAGGTTGGGTAGCCTACGGCATACTGATCATTCTTGCCTTGATATATCTCGCATTCGCTCTCATGCTTGTCGTCAAAATTATCGAAGCAGTCGTTCGAATCGTGGGTGGTGTCTCTTTTGATAAATCTCGACACTCTGTCGACAGTGGCCTTCTCGGTGCCTGTGGCTTGTTGGGATGCTGCGGCGGCCCTCGTAAAAAATCTCGTCGAAGCAAGAATAGAAAATCTGCAGGCCGATCAGGGTACCAACAAGCCGACTCGGAGCTTCGCTCCCCTCTATCAGAATTGTCATATCCACCCACTATAGGTGGCACGGGCAAGGGCGGTTCCATTCATTCGAGTGGTCCGCCACCGTCTGTGTTGAAGCCGGAGCATGCTTTTAGGCCGTACAAAGAAGAGAGTGATGACGAGAATGGATATATCATGGGTGCATGGCAACCTTTCCAGAATCGAACATCTGGTTATATACCTGTCTCTGACTCGGCTCCGACTACTGCCCCTGCCGCCACCAAGAGCTCTGGCTTCTCTCGAGTCGGTGGAGGAAGAGCGCATATCGACACTCCTTACGCAATAGCCCAAAACCAGGCTTCTGGCTCGACACATACCTTCCCATCCATAGAGCGTCCAGTTGTGAATCAAAATGCAAACGGAAGTAGTGCCAGTCTCCCTAGGCCCCGATACGAAGATGAGTCACCTCCACCTTCGGTCTCGTCGAATGTTGCGCTAGGACAGAGGCAAGTGCATGAACAGAATGCGCTACCACCTGGCGCAATGATGCCTTTCCATGTGCGAACGAAGTCGCAGACAGCTATCATCGAACATGTTGAAGTTAATCCTCTAGCAAATCGACAGCCAGGCTCTTCATCATCTACCAATGTCATCGGGTCCCGTCCACCCTCGCGAGCGAACCGTTTCGAGTCCGGCGGCTCGGCTCCTCCTACATCTTATCGTAGAAGAAGTGCGACTGTGGAAAGCGACGATGATAGCTCCTACGGTCGTTCAAAGAAGAAATGGTATCATATACGCAGAAGTCGAGCTCATAGCACGGAAGGGTATTCAGTTCCGTCTACACCGAACTCAGCTCCGGCTGGAGACAGTGCTCCCCTCGACCCTCCTGCATCTGCGACACCAGGGAGATCGTTTGTTGTCATTCGGAAGCAGCAGCCATCACCTGCCAAGTCTCTACAAGCAGCCAGCTCCTCGCTCCCTGCTACACCTACACCTAACGCCATCTCCTTTGCGAGAGATGGTGGGGCTAGCCCGAGTGCAGCCGGCTCAAGCTGATTCATTTACGACTAATTTACGCACCTTCATTTGGACAACATTATCACTATTTTACGCACTATTATGGTTCTTTTTTGTTTTCTGGCTGTTGTGTATCTCTATCTATAATTGCTTTCAAATCGTTCGAACCATTGCGGATTCGCGGACTATCATGCATTTTCTTCTACGCTAACCCTTAGCTACAGTGCCTTTTCCTATCCCCGAACCCTTCCATGTGCCAGAATGTACATTAATAGACAATAAATTTTTTTTGGGATATGAACTAGCGAAGATTTTTAAGTACAATAGTCCATACAACACACCAAGTCCATTAAATGTCTGTTTTAGATGCTCCAAGTCCATTTCCTTATTTCATTCCAAAAAGTAGAAAATTTACTGCTCCTCATCCTCATAATCCGCCGTTAACGACCCGCCCAGCCAAAATACTCGAAAATCCTCCAAACCCTTCCTGCACCAACAGTAAAGTCCCTTTTCCAGTTCGAGCTGAGTCGAGTCCATGCTGACACCGGACATGCTACTCAACGAGGAGTAGGAGCGATTCAGGCCGTTCATACTGTGGGACATTGTGTGCTGACGATCCCAATGACCGCCGGTACATAGGAATCCTGCATCTCCGCCGGTATCTTCCTCCGCATAAAAAGAATCATCGGCACGAGCTTTACCCTTACCTTTGCCGAAAAGAGACGGCAATGAGATTTCTTGTACCTCTATCCCAAGCTCGCCAAGGGATATCAGCTGGAGATAGGCTGGGGTCGAGAATCCATCCATGTCCGGTTCTGATCCCTCGAAAATTCTCGCAACGAGGTCGGTAGGGGTATTTCTCCACATAATGGAGCGGATCGGAGGAAGGGAAAAGTGATTGGTAGGGAGAGGACTGGGCAGAATATGTGTCCGTTTTCCGCGCGTCAACATGATCACCTTCATCGCTTGTAACGGTGCTCCGGGTGCCGACACGGGCAATTCACAAAATGCAGGTGGAATCCATTTCCCGATCGAAGAAGTGTCCATCGATATACGTGATTTTCGATGACTGGTGGGACTTGTGGTCTCTCTGGCAGGCCAAAACTGGCTTTCATCGTGCATTTCCATTTCTCCAACGGCAGAGTCCGCTAGGCGGATCCAGCCGGCTTTCTTGTCGAATATGACGAAAAGACTGAGTTGGGTTCCGTAATTCAGTGTCACCCCAGAAGTGTTGGTGGACAGACGATGGGATTCACGAGAAGTACTGGAACTATCCGTACGTCTGTGAGAAGTGTGCTTGTACCCTGAGTCTGAGAAACTCCGTGTAACATCGGTAACGCTTTGCTGAAAGAATGTAATACTTCGAGGAACGAGCGGCGTATAGAATTCCTGCAAGGAATTTTGGTTGACAGGGCAAAAAAAAATGTAAAAAAAGGTTCAACGTAAAATACTCACCTTTAAGAAATGAAAAGCCCGCTCCCCTCTGGGAGTTTCATATAAAAGTATAGTGGATTTGGTGGCTATAGCAAGTAAGCGGCTTTCACGGCCTCTGGATCGATCTTCGTTTCCCCACAAAGTGTAAGATAAGACTGAAGAAGTACTGAGACGAGAACCGGGCGTAGCCAGAGGAACAAAATCCGTCGCCCAACGCAGAGGCAGATCATCGATGACATCCCAACTCGCTGATTCAGAAGAATCTTGTCGCCCCGGCGAAACGGAGCGGCTTCTTCGTTTGCTTGCAGTTGAGGATACAGATGGCGACGGAGAGAGTAACGATTGATATGATGAAGAAGAATGTTCCGACCCATGGTTTCCAGGCGAGTCAATCAAATTCTTCAAGCCTCGAGCAAGGCTATGCTGCGGACGATGTCGTTTCGGCGGGGTTTGCTGCGCCTGCCAGTTAGACGGCCTCCGAAGATCTAGCGGCCGCACGCCCTGAAGAAGGACCCTTCAATTTTAGAAGTAATGAATGAACATGAGGAAGGGTACTCACTTTTTGCGTTACTGCCCACTTTGCCAAGCTGATCAAACTAGTTAGGTTGTACATCCGAAGGGACCTCAAAGATTCGGAATCTTTACTTGATGATGGAGAATCGGCTTCAGGGCCTACGAGAAGGAGAACGACGCCCTGGGGGGTTCCACGGGCGTCATGTTCCATCTCGAGAACGGACATCTGAAAAACCCTATTGAGAGTGAGAGGTAAAATGGAGTATAACTGTAATGCTACCGTACCCTTCTCCAGTCCATATGGGACGGGATTGTGCTTCCTCGGGGCCTTTAACGCTAATCCCTGCGCCTTCAGAGCGTGGATACATGTCAAGAACGGAAAGACCTTCGTCATGTCCAATCAAAAGTAACTTTCCTTCCAAAATCGGCAGCACGCAGCGAATGGGAGTTGTCGTGTGAGGGAGAAATCTTGATCCAAAATTATGCATTCTTAAATGAGTAGGCACAAGCTTTAGGCTTACAGAAGGCAACGGAGGAAGGGGGGGAGATAAGGAAGGTTGGGAGGCTCTTGATATATGAAGATTTTGAAGATCATTCGTTTGGATGTGCAGGGACATTGCTGAAGGAGTAGGAGGTTCATTTACAATCGTCGGAATGGCCGGATATTCTGCGGTATCTTCCGAACCATACTTTGGTAGAAGCATTAATCGAAGAGCGTATTATGGACGGATTGGAGGGTAACATTACCATTTCCTCATTTCCCCAGCCCCGTTCGCGTCTTCTCATCCGCTCCTCCGAGGAAATGTCTGCATAACGTTCTGCTGCCCTGAAGGAGCATATGAGGATTTGACTCGATTGTCATCAGGAATTTCCTACCGCTTCTCTATCCAGCCTCTCCAGCGCCCGAATCTAGCGATGGAAGTATTGATAAATTCGCGTAACCAAGTGATAAAACTGAGCCTGAAACGAACCTGGAATTGGGTCCATTCTGAGCGGCGAGGTCTTCATAAGTTGGAAGTCCATCTGTATTGGTCGGATCACCTGTATCCTGCTCAATGTGAGGGTAATCTTCAGAGGACATGGAGGTAGAATTCAGAGGACGAGAGTACGTGACATGCACCGCTTCGGTTGCTGACGCCATCGAACACCAAGGTAACAATCCTTTGAATAATATTTACCCAATTCAAGGAAAAACCAGGGGGACCATTGACTAGATCTATGTTTTCGACCACCCTTTCCCTCGTGAAATATCAGAGAAAAAATAAATATCAAAAATATATGCATCAGAGGGGAGTCGAACCCCTTTCCCGGCCAGAAGAACTACATACATAGCGAAACTATGGGAAGACCGGATCATAACCGTTAGACCACTGATGCTTCATTAATGTTGGGCAAATAGCATTATTAATTATCATCTCGGCAGAAAGCCGTATTGACTCTACGAAGTAGAGATTGAGAATACGAAGTGAGAATACGAAAGTTGGTACTACTACTACTACAAAAATTGTTTCACGAGATTGAAATCTCGGGCTTTGAAAATCATTGAACAAGGCGTAAACTAGCGTGAATTCATTCGAAAAGTATGAAGCTCGAGTAAGTCGAGCTAACGAAAAAAAATCAAAGACCGAGAATGCTGCGGATTTCATCATCAGTTTCAAACTTTGTCGTGCAAGGGTCAGACCATACCTCTAATTGCATCCCGTTCAGTACGATGCGGACGGTGCTCTCATGCAATGACGCAGAAGCTATTCGTCGCGCTCGAGGTCGACTCTTGGTCGATTGGCAGCAGACTTGTGCCTTTAACATCTTCGGATATGGGTGATGATGACTGCTCATCAACGTTCGTAGAAATGGTTTCCGAAGAGGTGACGTAGAAGAGGATAGATTGGAAGGAATCCATTGCGGTTAAAGATTGAGTGTTAATGGTAGTTGAGGCGTCACCGAGTCGTAAAAGTGAAAGGACGATAAAAGTCGCTCTGAAGAAAAACTCCTCTAAAAGGCTGGCTTTTAAAGACCTTGAATGGTAAGGGGTACAAGCTTGCTTGATCGCTGTCCCTGGCTATAACAATAAGCTTGGGATGTAAGCACGCAGCGTTCCTTTCCTTCTTATTGTGTTGGCCCGGCTTTAAAGATCTTAGATTAATTCTCACTGAGAGAGTCAGGCATATCACTCTGCTGAATGGGTTAACAGAAATTTGCTCACTCATGCTACCCGCAGAAAGACAATAAAACAATAAGGAAAAAGCCAAATCAGACTTGCGGAACGACCTAGATGCGAACCTCATCGTACCTGATCTAGAAAGGACAGGCGGACCTCTTCAATACAGCAAATACAGTGTGAGCGGTCGTGGAAGATCAGTTACTTCGGCGAGTTGGGAGTCGCGACTCGCGAACCCTCGGCGGCGCATCTTGCCACGACCTCGTGATCTTTGCGTGATTCTGGGAACAAACTTCTTTCCATGAGTCAGAGATTCTGACTCAGTGACTGACACGGCAACGGTAGACTCAGTCGTTCCTGAGCGTGTCAAGACTCAAGATTCAAGAATCAAACGTTAAAATTCTGAACATAACCTTCACTCAGACCTCTCCTTGTCCAGCTATTCTTATCGAATGCCAGTACAAATGCCAGTACGAAGAGGTTTCAACTTGACCCTCTCCCACATTTCAAGCTCACGGCACCCCGCTATCACCAATGATGCTACCTAGGAAAAGCATATGGCGACAGGAAATTGCTGCTCTCAAACTTGTTTCGTCTCTGAGGATAATAGCGTTCAATTCTAGACCAGCCTCAGATTCTATCAGCAAAAACACCGCCGAAAATTGGCGATCCCACATTTCTATAAACTTGTTTTCCCAAAAATAACTCTATTTCCATTCTTATGTCCCTGAAATGGATACTCTTATCGTGAAGGAGAAGAGTTGAGTTGACACTGCTTTGACACCATCAGCGCTCACCGCATTGCCTGGCAGATCACACTGACATCTGAAATCCCGCGAACTCCCATCCACCAGGCTGGCTGTCTTTACGCTCTTCGTTGCTCCTAAATACGGAGAGCAACTCCCTCATCTTATTGGTTACAAGAAGGAAATGCTTCTTGCTATCTGAATCAGGACTGTTCCGATGCGGGCACTGGTATCCTTGTTATAAATGTATGATGATGATATTTGACATCGCTCTGACTTCCTTCCGACTTCCTTTATCAATCCCTTTTTGATGAAATATTGATGGACTCAGCGCTCAAAGTGCCACTATCCGGACCCCAGCGTCATTCAGACAAGGACGCGCAGATTTAAAGCGTCCTACCTGTTTGAGGTTTCTTTCCTCATTTGTCCCAACTTGCGTTCTTCCTTCTCTGCCCCCTCGATTCGTTCATTGACTTTAAGTTTCATCTCCTTTTCGATACTTTCGAATTCGTTCCTTCCAAAATGTCTTCTAATTCTTCTTCGAGTCGGTTGAACGGCAAACGGGCCTTTGCCGCGACGCGAAATCTTCTTCCTGCTGTCAAGCCTGATATACCCATCTCCCATATAACTCAGGCCCCGGCGCATAGTTTTTTCTCTTGGGTTTTTGGTAGGGGTACTGTGGTGGGTAGCAAATCGACTCTAAGCTTTGATTTGGTTGAAATGAACTTGACTGTTTTAGATCTGGAAAATCTGGCCAGCCGTACTTCTATACACGATCTTTACCTCTCGTGCGTGGAATTGCGTCTGACTTGTTGGAAGGATGTCTGATGATTTTCATATAGTTGTCGTTTACTTGTATGACAAGAGGGGCATCAGTCTCAATATCCCAAACGTTATGTTGAACGTTCTCGGTACGCACGTTTCCGACACTTTTCCCGATCAACGCTCAACTGCCAGTGTTCAATAGGTGTGGTTATTGGTTTCGTGATATCTTACCGTGCTATGAGCGGGTATGGGATCCAGAATTTCTCTTTATCTCCATAAAGCCCGGATTGACCCAGATTTGTACAGTTATGATAGGTATTGGCAAGGAAGAAGCGCGTATGTACAAGTTCTTAATTTACCGTTGTTCGTTCTAACTTTCTGTCTCCTTGCAGATGGTCCGAACTCATCCAGCACTCCCGTACTCTCGGTCGCCTTGTTTGGTGAGTGCACTTTCTTTTGATGGTTCATCTATCTTGAACGCAACTTTTTCAGGTATCATGTTCCACCGCGACTTACTCCTAGAACCAACGAAGAAATTGCTACTGGACTGATGAACCGCACGAGTTCAGAGCTTATGAAAGTCATGGCGGAGAAGCGAATGGCTCTTGACCTGATCCTCGCGTACGCTATAGCCATGAAGCATCATCTGCGAGGTATGCCACTCTAATTTGTTAGTAGTAATTGTTACTGACTTGCTTTAGGCGAGCTCGGAATCTACTTTGAGGACCTCTATCACCTTGTTCGTCCTTTGCATGAGGTGAGCGGTAATCTGTCTTTTGACGTGTGCGTACTTTACTGACTATGATAAATTAGCACGACCACTCTGCAGAGCAAAAACAAGCAGCCATGACCTCTGCTCTGGCTCCTCCGGCCCGAGCTCGTCGTATCGCTTCTAATCCGTCTCTTCCTCATGCTTTAGGTATCAGTAGAGAAGCTTCCCCGGCCCCAGGGAAAAAGCAGGTTCGAGTTCATCTCCATACCGAGCACGAAAATGCGAGCGAAAGTACATACGGAACTTTCCCTGTTACCGATTCTCCCCGTGGATCAATTCGCCGAGTACCATCCAATGATTCCGTCCATAGTACCCATCAAGTGCTCGCGCCTTCCCAAAACCCTGACGGTCCGGATCTCATGAACGATGTCTCTACCGAACTCATTCCATTTTCTGGAATGTTTGGTGGTATTAAACGCTGGTTCTCCAAGAAAAACTCATACTCTCAACTTCCAACTTCGGACGTTCGGAAGGATCCCTGGGGATACGACGCGAGCCAGAGGAACTGGAGTGGTCCCATCCAGCCGAGAGTTGGGAAAGACAAGCACACGGTGTCCAGTACTGCTCGCGGTGAAAATCTGCCATTGGAGATCTTGAGGTGTATGAGCGAATGGTGCAGCGTTCTGGAGGAGCGGAACACGGTTCCAGGTATGTTTATTCGAGGTTTCGAGGGATCTTGGATACTTACTCAATGTACTTTACAGGAACAAGCTTGGGTTCAATGATGGGTGAAGTCTCAGGACTGGAAGCGACCTTGTCAGGTAAAGCAGCTTTTTTTTATTAGACTCTCGACTTTGACTGACTTCTCTCGAAGCTCTTGAGCAAATTCTTACTACTCCTTTGCCCTTGTGAGTGTCAAAAAAAAACTGTTGACGTCGATTACAAGCTGACGAACGACCGGTATCACAGCGTCTATTCGGTGCACATCAGACAGTGAGTGTCATGTATGTCGTATATTGTCGACCTTCGCTCATTTCGACTTTTTTACAGCACTGTCTGGGTCTACCTCTTCTTTTTGCCCTTCCAACTCGTGGCCGAATTCAAATGGCACACTGTTGCAGGTAAACAAGTTTTGTGTTTTCCAATTCATTGAACTTGTATTCAAGTGTATTCTCTTTTCAGGTGTTACCCTCGCTGCTTTCATCTACCTTGGATTCCTCGCTGCAGGAGAAGAAATCGAGCAGCCATTCGGTACGCCTTTCCGAGAGATCTAAATTCCACGGAGGGTTAACTTTTCTGAACTTTGCAGGTTACGATGAAAACGACCTCGACCTCGATATGTTCTGCAAGGAGATCATCGAGGTGGATATTGCCAACCTGAAGAAATCCCCCTGCCTCAACGCCTACTTCCCACCTACCCCACGGGTCCAGCGGCTCGTCAAGCAGCGTTCGATGACCCTCACAGAAGCCACCCTAGAAATCTCGGATTCAGACTATTGATCCAGATAAATAAATGGCGATTTGAGCCTCTACCCAAAAACACGAGAGAAATCTGATTCTCAGTCTCTTTCGGAACGGAATTGACACCGTTCCTGTCACTCGTTTACATTGTGTTGTCCTTTAAGTTATTTTTTATTACGGGATTTACCACTGGTTATGGATTCTCAGTACACAACGCTCGTTTGTATCTAATTATTTGATCTTTTTGTACCAACATCGACTTGATAATTTTTCCAGACAGCAGTGTGAGGCGAGGCTCCTCGCGAATGGAAATTACTAGCCTGGACAGGCGGTATCGCGTCTTTTTGAAGTCTTATTCGCGTCTTATTCGCGTCCGCAGATCGAAAACTTGAAGGGCCCAATTAGCGCCCGTTTGAAGGCTCCTTTTTCATTAACCGTTGGACGTCGAAAATGGATAGGGTCCCCGTTCTCGAGTCTTCTTCTAACCCCCATGTTCATTCATCTCACAGCGGGCTTTCTTCTCGTGTCTCTTTCG